TTGACTCAAAATCATAGGGGTCATCTACTAATCAGGGGACTAACCTCTGTGTGCCAAATATGAAGACTGTGGGTCAAAGGAATCTCAAGTTATGGGCGGCACAAGCTTTTTAAAGTCAAGGCCCCCCTGTGACCTTGACTTTGACCCAGTGACCCCAAAATCAATAGGGGTCATTTACTAATCATGACTAACCTCCATGCCAAATATGAAGACTGTGGGCCAAAGGAATCTCAAGTTATTGGGCGGACAAGGAAAAACCGACAGACGGGAGACGTGCGGACGTCCGGAAGGCAGACTGACAAGCTGATTCCAGTATACCCCCCTTACAACTTTGTTGTGCGGGGGTATAATAAACTATACTTTTTTATAAGGAATAGTTCTCTAAGTCCTCATCAGTTTCAAACACTATTCATTTGCAATCAATGGTATATTGAAATGTAGCAAATAATGTTATTACCTGATGTTTGGGCAGCATTTCAGAGTCATGCTAATTCTTATTAGCATTTAAAATTTGTATTTTACAAATAAATTATTGTTTACCAATAAATTATTTAAGAATTAATATATAAAGACATAAATTTTGAGCAATAGAACCATTGAGCATTGAGCAATATTTTATAACCTATAGTGTGTCTAAACATACAAGAATAGTTTTTACCCTGTTAGAAACAGTGTAAAAATATTGTTATAGAAAAATATTCAAACCAACCAAAACATGAAGCATGCACAAAGTAAATCATGGATTGTAAATATTTATACATTTTTAAAATTCTTGATATTATTTTGATTTTTTTGTTCTTTTTTTCCCCCTCATCTTTAGGCATGCATCTTTTTTTTACTTCAATTCTACATTATCTCTACATGTACTTAAAATAAAATAGAAAAGTAATCTTGCCTTTTCTTTGTAAATGTTTATATCATGTACATTGTATATATTTGATAGAGGCTCATAGGGAACACTGGGCATGCCCAACTGTATTTCCTCTTTAAATAAAGTCTTTATCATTATCTATTATTATTACCTTGGATAGATGGCAGTGGTTTCTTGTATTTACTCAGCTCTCTGGACAAGTAAAGGTCTTTAAGAGAACCGTATGGACTGGTGCTACGCTGTATATCCTCATCTATTTCATCATCAATGACATCATCATCAAGGTGAAAGACTGGTTTTGTTTCCATCAAATGAGACTGGCGCACATTCTTATTACCTGTGAACAAAGAGAAAAGACTGTGATTTATACTATATATATATTTATAATGTTCATTATTATTGCTATAATACAAATCAAGTTTTATTTTCTTTAACATCTTTATTTGATCTTTTATCTCATTATTATTGTGATTTATATGTCATTTAACATGATGACCCTTGATTGGAAATAAAACTTATTCTATTCTATTTTATTCTACAGATGATCTGAGTCGATTTAATCCCGAATGGATAAATGGCTTAGTGATTAAGGTGTTGGCCTAAAAGAAAATGAAGGGATCATGGGTTTGAGCCCTACTTGATTCACAGCCATGATTCCATATAATGTTATCATTGGCAAAATACCTGCATGAAAGAAATATATCTATATAATATAGTCTCTTTAGAGGGAATCATCAGAATGCATGAAATCAGTGCTTAATGGTTAATACCCTGTCTTAAAACAGCAAAATAGTATTTTGTTCCAAAACATTATATTCTGCTTATAAACAAGATTATTGTTTAGTAAATAACATGGACTTTTTATGTCACAACTCTTTTGAGATTTAACCATAAGTTTATGAAATCAACATAAACTTATCATTCATAAATTTTATAAAAATATTTTTCATTAGATATATAGCATTATTGAATGAGTGTAAGTTCAATACTGAATCACATAAAATTATATTAGGTGAGCATAATATTATTTTTATCGAATTAGTTCAATAAATACCATAATGAACCTACATGAATATAATATTCTATTTATCTAAATAAAGACTGTTTTACGTGAAAATTTTTTTTTTTATTGACACACCTCTATCGTAATGCTAACATTAAGCATGTCTTTACACTATGTTTGTATAACGCAAATGATGTCATGTCAAAATATATGCAGGGCCATGCAATACCATTTTTATGGTGTCACAAAAGCGGCACAGGTATGTGATAAAGCTTTACACCCTTCAAGGGATTAAAGAATCAATATATAAAAATTAAGTAGGTAAATCATGGATATGTAATATATAAACATGTACCTTCATGTAAGTTTAGTTTTTTCTGTTGCAACAGATCTTGACTAGCCAATGAGAGATTTGTATTTCCTCGTTCTAGTGACGGTGGCATAAATCTTCTAATTACTTCTCGTATCCTATCACGGGACATCAAATCACTGAAATAGACATGAGAAAAACTGATAAATTCCAAAGATTTATTTAATGATCATTTTCAAGGTATCCATTTTTTTTATTTCATAACCATAAGAATTTCATAAAATAACTTGCACTGACAACCTTTGATAATCTAAAAGAACTTCAAACTATTGATTCATTCTTCCACTGAAGCAGTTCATGTAGTCATAGTAAAAGTATCAAGCCCCTCCATAAAAAAAAATGCTAGATTGCAAAAGAATTTATCTAATTTTGGTTATTCCTTGGAGGTTGACCCAGGGGTATTTAACCTTTTTCTTTCTTCTTTGTTAAGAAAAAACCTTTATCTTTACTCTAGAAAAGTAACAACTTCCTAAATTCACCAGTGGGAAATTTTCTACATGAAATACTGCAATGAATTGCTTTTGGCAAAAAATCATCTTTCAAATGGCTCTGTATGCCAAATGACCCCCTCCCTTGTACTCTGAGCAAAGGTGCATTACAAAGTCATTTTATAGTTTGACCACAAATGAAAGGGCTGTAAATCATAAAAGCAACTGATTTAAATAGACATATTAGAAACTATATTATTGAAATATAGATATAGAAAATAAAGTCTGGTCATGACAAACCTCTGGCGTGTATTTTCCAGAACCTGTACAAGGACATCTCTTGGTAGGTCCAATAACTCACTGATACTAAAAATAGCAATGTGGAAATAAAAGTTAGTTGATAGGTAATAAATTATCTTAACAGTATTAATCAATGACAAACAAATTTGACTGTAAATTCTGACAGAATACAAATCAATGTCTGTACATTCAAAACTGCAAAATAATACAGGCTATATGCTTGCTTTTATCAACTATTCATTTGATGAAAGTATAACTTGAATGCATCGAGAGATAAAAATGTACATTAGGATATACCAGTAAGCTCAAATTAATGTAACAGAAAATGATATACATTGAATATAGCTTTTTTTCTGAATATCTTGTGCAATATAACTAAGTTACAAGTCAACACAAAAATAATGTCAATTATTTGTTACTATTAACAATATTTTATTCTATAAGGAGGGGAAAAAAAGTAGACTACAGTATGAAAAAGAAGATCTGCTTATTATGCTTTCTTAATGACACCATGTATAAAATTGATGATCCATTTTGTTAAAATGCTTTAGAAAATCATGAAACATGGACCTATGTAAATATTTTTAAGTTCTAACGCAAATTTTTTTCTAAGTCATATTTTCAACTGCATAAATATTTATTTTCAAATTCTTTGGAAAAATGAATACATCTAAGATAATTACTCTACAAAATTGTTAGATTTTACCTTAAAAATGATAGTTTCTATATGCACATGTATTTAATGACAGTGCATTTAACATAGTTATAGTTTATAGTTATAGACATTTATATTTATATGGTATAGTTCAAACACATCATTTTCATGTAAATTCAGATATATGATCAAATAATCGTCAATGGGACCATTAAAACAACACATTCAATTACCAGAACATAATTGCCTTTTTCATGAATATGCAAATTAAAAGTGGGAGGTGTTTACATAAATCAGTTCAGTTTTCTAGATTAAATAAACCAAAACTGATGGAAGATAAGTGATGCCAACACAGTTTTTTTTTATTTTGGAAAATGAAAAAGTTAACGCTCTACTTGCAACTTAATACAAAAATTAATGTATACTAGTACATGTGTAGATGAATGATGTGAATAAATAATTCAATACTGGTATGTCATTTTTGGTACTTTACACACTAAATAAATTAAAATAATGTAAAAAGTAAAAAAAGTAAACATATCAAATATATGGGAATAACAGAATATCTAAGCAGAAACATAAACTTCTATGAATATATATAAATTTATCTATACATAACTAAATATTACATGCTGAATATATATGGGGAATTTGTAATAAATATTTTCAAACATGATGACAGACTGTAACAGTAATTTATATATTTATTTAAGTAAATAAAAATTAATACGTAAATACAGTCAAACATTAGTGTGAAATACAGAATATCAAATTTGTGACCTTGTATAGAAAAATCTGTTTCTATAGGTCAGCATTATACTTCCTCTGAGTCAAGCAACACAAAATAAATTAGTGTGTGCATTTTAAATAGCTTAAGCTGGGGATATATTGGTAATTGTAATCTTAAATACCAAACAATAAAATCAACATTCATATAGATGCAAAATTTTTGTTACAATAAATCATTTAATGTAATTCATGCTACATTTCCATTTTCACTATCTTGCCATTCATAATCTTTTAACAAACAGTCTGTCATTATATTTGTGAAAAATATTATACAAATATGGACTTTTTAGCTGTTGAATATGATGTGATATGTACTGAAATAATTAATATTGACCGAGGCGATAGCCGAGGTCAATATTAATTTTTCAGTACATATCACATCATATTCAACAGCTAAAAAGTACATAATATTATATGTTTTATTATATAATTTATAAATAGCTTTTATATGGCTTATCACATCTGCTATTGCATACGACTGAAGCTTGTCTAGTGTTTCCATAATTTGGCCCTTTCCATTGGTATACTTATCCCTATTGTTCTTAAAAATGAAAAACGGTAACTAGAATAGACTAATTTGACTCTAATGTTCACCCAACTCAACGTTTTTTTTTTCAGAATAATAACATCAAACTTCACGTTAGGTCACGCATGTTTTAGGGATTTCCAGAAAATTTATTTTTAGAAGAAAAATCGGTGAATATACTCTGATATTGACCTGTTATTTTTTACAAAAAGTTGCTTGTTAGCCAATCAGGGAAAGGCATTTTAAAGCTATTTATTGATTATATAATAATATGAGATATATTGCAATTTTATACTTGTATAAATCATACTAAATATATTTTTTTCTTTTTGATTATCTCCTTTAATATATCAAGCAATAATTTGCAAATATCTTTAAACTGTAAATTTACCTGGAATACATAGCTATCCGTAGACTAAAATTTGATAAAGACATAATATATAGCTAATATTATTGTTATTCTTTAAGCCACTACATTGTAATGCTTATTACATAATAACAATATTGCTTTATGCATAGCACATTGAAGATTATTTTATTTGTATTTCAATGATCTTCAGTAAAAACAACTCTATCAAACACTATTTGTGTGATATATCTTTTATATTATCTACTTTTTTAATATGGTTTTATTTCATATAGGTTAAATAACAATGATGTAGTCAAACACATCATTGTTGTAAATGTTTCACATGGTTCTGATACTGTTGTGGTCTTATGGTTAATGTGCAGACAAACTTTGCTGGAGCAATACAGCAATATTTCAGCCACAAACTGGCATTCAGGGTAGAAACATTGACATTCAATGTTACCCTAGCTGGATTTGGTAAATTGACATCATATCTGATGCCATATGCAATCATTCATTTTATTTTTTATGCTTAATAATGCAGCTGATTGCCCTATCTGTTTGATAAGCATGATAGAATTTCATTTTTTTACTATCCTGGAAATTTTAAGTCAACGCTATCTGGAAAGTCAATATATTAAAGAAGCAATACTATAAACTGCTGGTTGTGTTAATTTAAATTATATAAAAGCAAGCAATCAGTCATTACGTTGCATTGTTCTTTCTACAATACTCTATAAATCAAACAATGAATTTCACAGACTTCACAATTTTAAATTGAAAATACACATATAAAAAGAATGCATATATACAATGAGTTATTCATGAAAACGTATTACTTAATAAAAATTATCATTTTGTAACAAATTTACTTGAATGTTAAGAATTTTCTCTCTTTTTCAAACTGCTGAACATTTTTAATATTTAGCAAAAACATAAAGTTTAAAGTAAAGTTAGTATTAAGCAAATGAGTTATAGCCATGGAGCTGTTTTAATTGCATAGGCAATAGCAAATTTTTCGAAAATTATTGCATCAATACAAATATTTCAAAAATATTTTTGAGTGTAAAGCATATCACTTCAGATAAATATTCTTTAATAAAAATAAGAGCAACATGTGAAGTAAAGCTGCCTTTATACCTGTTGTACACAATCTGACCGGGTGTGCGCCACCCGCTCACCCTAGATGGTATAGGCACACTAATCTGCCCAGACCTTCGATTACTATATGAAAAATTGATATAAACTTTAATTACCTTTATAATTATTTTATATTACCATTGCCAAAATTTTATAAATTGTATATAAAATTTCACTAAATTTCTCAAAATATCCATCTGTAATATGAAGATTAAATATTTTCCTGACATTGTAAAGAGGTTGATTTTGCTATTTTTGTGTGTATATGCCATTTTTTATTTTTGTATTCAGGTTAATTTACATAGTTTACATAGCCTCTCAAGTAGAAAAAATGTTTTCTCTCTAAACCTTGATAATGTATGTGATACTTGCATTATGCACTTTTAGCAATGTACATTGTTAAACTGTAAGTAAGCTGTCAATAAATGTTTAATTCATGAACGAACATAGAATTACAAAATATTTTATTAGAATTACAGAATAAAGTTTCTAGCTTTATATTTCTACAGACTGGTTAGCAAAAAAAATGTCTGTTTCGTAATTTTCTGTATAAATAGAGAGAGAGAATAAAACTTGGGTCATTTGGCATTTTTTGGTGTTTTTATTAGTACAATCCAACCTTTGAAAGGCAGTGCTCTGTTGAAAAGTAACTCTAATATAAACAGAATCAATTCTACCCAAATTTGACTTTACAATAAAGTTAACCTTTCCTTGTGAACAATTTACTCTCATCAAAGACCTAAAAGCTTTGTCGCCAAAAAGATGTTGCTCTGCAAAGCTTGTATTGTATACAGGAGCATTTCTTTGTCTTTATATTATATAAATGAGCCGCGTCATGACAAAACCAAAATAATGCGTTTGCGACCAGCATGGATCCAGACCAGCCTGCGCATCCGCACAGTCTGATCAGGATCCATGCTGTTGGCTAACCAACCCTTTTACAAGTCGAGAAACTGATAGCGAACAGCATGGATCCTGATCAGACTGCGCAGATGCGCAGGCTGGTCTGGATCCATGCTGGTCGCAAACCCATTATGTTGGTTTTGTCATGACACGACTCAAATGTTTTTTTATCTACAATATTACTTTAACAGAAATATAGCAAAGTATGGTCAATTTAGTGTCGCACGCAACAATTGATGGTCAGTGAAAATCTGGTAACAGACATATTTTTGCCTTAATTAAAAAGCCAAGCTTTACAATTTGATTTTAAATCATGCTCTTTGCTTTTATATAACTCTATAATTTATACACGTCATGTTTGACATTTTTATGATAACTAGTTTATGATAACTAGTTTATTATCAATTATCAATTATAATATCAGGTTCCCATGCAGTTCTACCTTTAAAAGATTCATCTTCAAAGACTTTTATCCTTCAATGGCTTGAATGAAGAAGACTTACTGTAACATCTCAACACCTAAGTGCAGTAATGGGTTAACTGCTTATAAAATTTAACTTAAACAAATTCTATAGGTTTTCCAATGAATGTCTGCTTTTTTGTGATTAACTTAATTACGACTTTTTTTTTAGACAAAACTCTTGTTTGCACACAAAAGCTAACTTTACATTAGATGAAATAATTCAGCATTTAAGCCTTTGTAAATAGATTTAATGGCACCGCTCTATGCCACTGGTAACATCATTAAAGACTGACCTGAGTTTTCAATTATCCCTGCAGTGTACAATCATTTTCCTATTGCAAAGTTTTGGTTATATATCTTAGAATCCCTTATGTTTACAATCAAAAGTTTCAATTTCAAAGCAAGAAGAACCTGAACAAGCTAAAATTGTGTTAGACAACGCTTTGGTTAAACATTGTTTGTAGGTACTAGCCATTGTAGTATAAAGTATTTTTTATTTGATATAATGAACATGCATCATGCTTATTATCATTCAATTATTATTTTCCATGTTATTGTTGTTTACCCAGGATTGTAATAGTCATCGGACCGACTATTTGTTGTACATGTTGACCTAAATGTCTGATTTAATCCCCTAAATCAAAGAAATTATGTAATTAAATTAGTCTTTAATAAGTATAAACTATGTGTAATACTTTGTCATAAATTCTTGAATCAATTTAAAAAAACAAAAACAAAAACTTAAGATTGTTTATATTGAATATATTCATAGAACAAATTAAATCCCAAATTTGTCAACCCTAAAAACTGATATTAGACAGAGCAAAAGATATTGATTATACAATAAAAGAACAATAATTTAAAAAAAGAATCATTCCAATAATAATAATAATCCTTACTAAAATATCACCTCAATATTTATTTCACTGACAGTTACAAGACAAAATAATGAGCGTAAAAATAAAAGAATAAGATTTTCTTAAGATTATTCAGACTTAATTATCTTTTTCTTTCTTGTTTTGTACATAATATGAGCCGCGTCACGACAAAACCAACATTATGCGTTTGCGACCAGCATGGATCCAGACCAGCCTGCGCATCCGCATAGTCTGATCAGGATCCATGCTATTCGCTTACAAACCCTATAACAAGTAGAGAAACTGATAGCGAACAGCATGGATCCTGATCAGACTGCGCGGTAGTGCAGGCTGGTCTGGATCCATGCTGGTCGCAAACCCATTATGTTGGTTTTGTCATGGCGCGGCTCATATTTTTTATATACATACCCTTCATGATCATACTCCATTTTCGATGATCCTGCCGTGGTACGAGGAGACATAGAATACTGTGGCATTGTGGGGGTTCTAGTTGACATGGCTCTCTTTTTCTGGAATGACGTAACAAAAACATCTTCATTTCTATCAAAGTAAACTAATCAAGTTGAAAATCATTAAAGTAGAAAGGTTTCAAAGATAGGGCCTTAGCATGAAATGTTTGTTTCACCATTATTTCACAAATCTGGTACTAAACAATTTATGTTCCAATTAAGACATTAAGTTACCTGTCCGTTCTCTACATGCAATGAAACAAAAACCATTGTCTGTCTAATTTCAACAAAGAAATAAATGTTAGCAGTTAAATAAGATGAATTAATGTAAATAATCAGCACCTTAATTATCAATAAGAAAAACTTAAAAAGGAAGAAAAATTAAAACTCTAAACATCAGTGTTATAAGACCATCACCACCACCAGTTCCCAAACACTTCGACAATATTAAAGTTAGGATTATCATATAATTCACTATTTTTAAGTAAACCATTAAAAATTTCATCTCTATGCTACCCCTCAAGATTATAAACAATGTCCATGGGGAAATCTTTGATACCATGTGTGATAAATATATGATGTGCAACCCATAAATTGTGCTGGTCATAACCTATTTTGCCTTTGTGCATGTTTAATGAAGATATTCATGATTTCTTAGGTAATAACTCTTCCTACATGTGTGGTTATTACTTAAATACAAGTAAAATGCCACAAAATCTTTATCATTTTACAAAATGATCTTAAGCATTCCAATTACAATCTGTTCTACATTTTAAATGTTTAAAACATTCGAATGGGGACCCAATTATTATCTTAACTTCTTAGTTAAGAATTTCAAATAATATCTTTTTTCTTTCTCGAGGCCCAAACAATAAGGGTGTCCACATTTATTCTCCATGTCGGGGAACCTTCCACTTCTGACCTTACAAAATCACTTTGGCGTAAACATATACAGCATTTATAAATAAACAAGAATTCATGATTTCAATAGCTTGGACTATGGTCCATTTTTATTGGATTAAAAAAAAGGTTGAAAAAAAAAGATAGATGGTTAACTTACTTCACCTGCCAGAATTTTAATCTTATATTATATGTTATGAATGGAATCCCTTAATATTACACTTCAATGTTAGTATACAGATGATAAATGGGGGAAATTAATATACAAGCTATAAGAACAAATATGAAACATTATACACTAATTAATTTACCCGCATGTATTTTCCCAATTTATGGTTCTCATTCAGTGGCTAGTGTGCAATACAAAAATAATCAAATAAAAAAATATATAAATAAAAAGTGCATTGTGGATAAAACATATTTGACTCAACATGCCATTTTCTTTATCAATACTACATTAATAAACTATTCTATTATATAAAATTTAACTTAACTATGACTTTCTTGACCAGGCTTAAAAAAATCTTTATTTAAAATATGTCCAAATTAAAACATGAGTACAATTTTATCATGTTTAAAACAATTTGCTGAAATCTGAATGGTGACATTTCAAATAAAAAGCTAACATCTCCATACAGTCAGACAGTAAAGGAGTTGATAACAATAATGTGTGTGTTTGTGTGTGTCACAAGCTCAGGTGAGCTAACAAATTACAATATATCAACATCAGCTCATGCAAGTTTGGTGCTTTTATCCATACCTCATGCCAGTAAACATAAAACTCCTATAGTTGAAAACATCATATCATTTATATAACATGTAATATCTTTTTCTGTTTATATATATATATTTGAAAAAACATTTATCTACAAGCAAAGAAAATATGGCTTCTATACAGAGAAAATTTACAAGATTAGGGAAATATTCTATATCAACTTCTGGGAAATCATTTTATTCACCATAAATACAGACAAAATGAAGATTCATATTAAGCAAATACAATACGTCACCTTTGTGCAGTAACAGGTTAACTTCCATTGAAATTTATTTAATGCACTAAGGCAAGAATATGTAAAATACATATATACATGTTTGGTTCAAACATATTTATTAAAGCTTGATTGCGAAACAAGTTCTTGCAACTTATATTAATCACTTTCGAGTTTGCTTCCTGGAACCAACCAGTACTGGTGTCATATGAAGAAATATGGTCCTGTATAGGTTTTTCAACATATCTTGTTTTGAAGCTTAAACAACTTCTGAAAATATTTTAAAGAATATTCTAAGATGAAAATAAAATGATTTTACTCTTGATTTCAGATATACATATATAAGCAAGTTACCTAAAAAGTATATATTAAACATAGAAACAATTTGAAAATATAAAATAAAATATATACAATGTTAGGAAGTGGTTACTCTACTTCAGACCAAATACATGTGTGATTTATGAATAAATTTTCGTAGTAATTTTTGCCTACAACTTTATCATTTTTATAATTCTCTTTAACCCTTAGGCTTGTTCTTCTGAGTTTACATATTTTACTTGCCCTGCTGAAATCATGTAATTAACTTGCCCTGCTGAATTCATGTAATTAACTTGCCCTGCTGAATTCATGTAATTGACTTGCCCTTCTGAATACATGTAATTGACTTGCCCTGCTGAATTCATGTAATTAACTAATGCCTTGCTGAATTCATGTAATTGACTTGTCCTGCTGAATTCATGTAATTAACTAATGCCTTGCTGAATACATGTAATTGACTTGCCCTGCTGAATTCATGTAATTAACTAATGCCTTGATGAATTCATGTAATTGACTTGTCCTGCTGAATCTAATATGCAGACTTTCCTTGTTGAATTAATGTCATGAACTCTACCTGATGAATTAATGTTTTGCCCGGCTGAATTCATGTAATTGAATTTAATATGTAATGTACTTGCTCTGCTTTGAAAAAAAAAATTAGTGTTATTATTGTGTACTTTTTCTTTAATATCTTTAGCACATTTTTCTGTTTCAAGTGCACCTGTTGATCAATGTTGGAATTTCAAATCTTTTGTTTCCAGGCTTTTGGACCTGACAGTGGAATTCCTTGACAAAGAACTTCAGACAAAGAGTTTCAAATATTTGTATAAATATTAATCACACAAGTATTTGTTTAAAATAATGGTGCAAAAAGCCAGTATATACCAGATTGTTGAAAATTAGAATTAAGATTATACAAAGTTTGAGAAATATACAGATTAACTATATTATAGATTACATATATATACATATATTGAAAGGTAATAAAATAATGCACAGTTTAAAAGATAGAGAAATAAAGCACAAGAAAAACTTTCACAGTGATCCAATTAATAATTGTAAATAGTCAGACAAAAACAAACATTTATGCTATAAAAGATAATTCGTAATGAAAAATACACTTGTGCTTAAAAGATATTGAAATTTATTTTTCCCTTGACTATTTCAGAATATATAATCAATTCATATTGATTACACTTGTTATTGAATTAAATGAAACTAAAATATTTCTTTTACATATTAATTTCTGTTTTGCCATCTGCTGTATGAGTAACCACATCCACAGGTTTTTAAACTGAAGCAGAAGACCAGTCTTTTCTAACAATTCAGCCAATCAAATGCTTTATAAACGATTTAGACTGGTACACAATTTTTTTTTAACTATGAAATCAAGTCAATCTAAGTTTCAATAAGTTACAAAAAAATGTACCAGGACACTGTGAAAGTTTACTAGAGTATTATAGTACAATGAACATGGATCTATACCTTTAAAACAGGCCATTCTTCAAACTGCAATACCACATGTGAAATAAACTTTTGTGAATCGGGTAATTTTAAAATAAAGAAATACTCACAACAATAGGGAGATGAACTTTGTAATTACGTTTTTCTTTTCTCATTTCATTCAAATGAGAAAAATTCAAACTTCGCTGTTTATAAAAATGCATTTTAATCAAATTCTAATAAATTTTAATTTTGAAATACTTTTCATTTAAATGGCTCAGCCCTTCAAGTAATTAATAAATGTAAAATTAAAGAGAAATGTAAAATCATCATAGAAAAAAACCCTATATAGCCTTAAATGTCTAAAAGTATGAAATATTAATTATTATCAATTAGTTTTAAGAAATTATTTCAGAAAAAGATAAGAATGATGTTAATTATCCTTTAACAGAAGTAAAGAAAAAGATTTAAAGGCCTTTAGTTTTGTAATAGAACTACTGAATGATTAACATTTAACCTGCCAGATTTTTAAACACATTTTCATTTACGGAACAGCACAATATCAATTTTTGGGAAATCAAGATGAAAATTATAAGTTAGTCAGCCAACAGTACAGAGACCGGTCAGAGAGCACAGCCATTTCTTTCTGTTTTTGTTGGGTTTTACGTCACACCAACACAGAATATGTCATATGGTATATTACTTTCTGGCTTTACTGGTGGAGGAGAAACCTCGGGTGCCCCTCTGTCCATTATTTCAGGTACAAAAGAGACCCTGAGAACAACCAACATTCTGTAAGCTAGCTGGATAGCTTTCTCACATGAAAGGATCAGAAGACGCTTGTGTTACTCAAACCTACAGAAAAGACTAACAAGTGGTTTGAAGTCAACGACTTAACTACTTGACCATGGATGCAGAGACATGCAGGCTGGCCTGGCTCTATACTGATGGCAAAAGCTACCAGCAGTGTAAATAATTTACTGTAAACAACTGATTCATAAAAGCTGAATATATTTTTCTGTTTAGAGAAGCATGTGTTTTTAGCACATACATACAAAAATACACATATCACATGCATACTTTTTAATTTAAAGTTCTATTAAATATAAATGTATGTCAATTATTTTCATTTTGATTTTTTTCGAATGCCAAACAGCTTTTTTTTTTAATTAAAAGATAAAAATGAAATGTGTTCTATACACAGACTTGCAGTATTCATTATTTTAGGTAAATATCAAGTAGAACATGATACTTATTTATCTTTATTGGCTTTATATAAAAGTCCTATTTCCAATTAGAGAATATCTAAAAGTATCAGATTTGTTCAATGTAATCTATAGTATACATGTATAACTGACAGATTTAATAAAGGATGCACATAATATAATATTATCAAAGTAAAATATTACAAGATGAGATTTTCAATACCAAAATATACTTATAAGCCTTGCTTAGAAATCAAAGCATTAAAGTTTGTGAACAGCTTGATGGAAATTCTTTAATCGCTGGTGCATGAAAACTTGTGAAATATGTTCTGATTTTCATTTTTGTCAAAACAAAGTAAAATCATTTAAAGAAGTTGAAGACAGGCTATCCAGATTCACGATTAATATCTAATGATTACAACAAATACTGTTTTAACTCAATTAACTTTACCATTTTGCCATAAAATTTGTATAATGGACTTTAATTGTGTTAAATTCTAAACTGCCTATTATTAAATAAAGTTTCAATATCAAATAGCCAAGAATGAGCAGCCAGTTTATCAAATCACAATAAAAAGTCACTCTGAACCTGGATGTTCCCATCTTTTTTCTTCATATAATTTTTTTCTTGCATACTATATTACTTCATGAAAGGTTAAAGTAAATACCACTACTTTCCTAAGAGTAAGATTTAGAGTTCATTTATAAACAAATGTTACTACTCATTTTCATCTGTAAATATTACTAAGAATTACAGATGTTTTTAGGAGTTTTCATATAGACATATAGAAAAAATTAAAAGTGTTCAATAGAATTTTGATTCTGCCTATAATTGTCTATATGAAAACTCTTGAAAACGTCCTAAGAAATCACTGTAAATTTGCTGTATGGTTGATGTTTCATTTTTCCTAGTCTTTTATATAATCAGATCCATTCCTGTTGTCATTTTTAAATCCCCGTTCTTTAAAACCAAGTAATTATTAAAGAAATTTCATAAAGTCACTTAAAAACAAAAACACCTTTTTCTGTATCAATAGCTATATTTTTAAATAATTAGAAATGAAAATGTTGAAATTTCAAACCAGTATGCAAGAAAGAAATCTAATGTTCATGTTATATAAGCATTTGATGGGTAATTAGGAAACCTACCCTCGACGTCAGCCTGTTATCCTCTATCTCTTTCGGTACCATATCTTCTGTCATGTCCTTGAACTTCACTGACCCCCGGCTTTTTAACTTTATCATAGGGCTATAAAAAGCAAATTTAAAGCGAACATGCCTACATGTTGTTCACATTATGAGGACAATTTGCAGCATTTCTTGGTGTTTATTCTAGAGTGAAAATACCAATATTCAAAAGAAATCAGAAATGCATGGTAAAAAAACTTTGAGATTAATTGGTATGTTAGAGCATTGTCCCAACTTCTAACATTTATGTTCATTAATGTGATGCTATGTACCTAGGACTTCAAACTTATCATACAAAATAATTACTTGTCCAAAAAAATTGAAGACGAAATCAAATCTATCTGTTACTTAATTTTGTTGAGATTAAAATCATGCAGACTATCTTATAGCTATATTGGTGGAAAAACAAACCACACAAACATTAATTAAAATCCCTAAGCTTAAATACACTAAATAGAGTCCTAAAATCAGCCATAATTTTGCTGTTGAGAATAAATGAGCCGCGTCACGACAAAACCAATATGGTGCGTTTGCGACCAGCATGGATCCAGACAAGCCTGCGCATCCGCACAGTCTGATCAGGATCCATGCTGTTCGCTTACCACATCTATTACAAGTAGAGAAACTGATAGCGAACAGCATGGATTCTGATCAGACTGCGCGGATGCGCAGGCTTGTCTGGATCCATGCTGGTCGCAAACACACTATGTTGGTTTTATCGTGATGCGGCTCAAATGTAACATACCTGTCCTCTTGACCTTTAGCTTTTTTCTTCCTCCTCTTCTTCTTGGCATTGGGCACCCAGACATAGTATGACTTTGGTACAAAAGTGTCATCCCATGTTCCTCTAAGATCCTCTGGGTCAAACACTTCTTGTACCTGACATAAAAATATGTAATTGTCCTTATCTCTTGTATAAACAAAATATATTACATTCAAAATTAAAATGATTTATTATAAAGAATAGGAGTTGGTTTATTGAAAAAAAAAAAAAATATAATTTTCGGTTGCCAATCTGGATATCAGATAATAAATTTCTAAGTTCAAATAGGGTTATAATTCTGTCAAAATCAATGCCAAAGCTATGGGTCTTGAACAGTAACTTCCTTGTAATTCTCTCAAATAACAGTGTGAAGTTTCAACCTATTCCTTTTAGTAGTTTTGCAGACACCATCTTGCATGTAAAAACGTAACCAAAGTTTGACGCCCATACCTTGATGAGAACAATAGGTCTCCCTATTTCTCAAATAGTCAAACTAAAAACTTTTCCCTAAATGGGAAATTATTCACAACAGAACATTTAAATATAAAACATACTCTAAACTATATATATTTCATGTTTACTGACCTCTACCACTTTGAATTTGGAAACTGGAACTTCTGTATTTGATCCAGATTTTGGAGATGTTTGTGGAGCCCTTGTGACCTTAATGCTACAATAAATTGAATATAAGTAGTTAAAGTTAGTTTAATAAATGAATGGTTGTCATAGAGGTACAAAGGTCATTAAATACTCCTAAAAATGTTTTAAAATGAATTACTTTTTTTAATTAATTAAAGATACAACGAAGCTTTCTTGACTTAGTGAAAAAAAACAAAACAAAAAAAAACACTGGGCATAAATTTTGCTGTGTAGATTTGAATCTACAAGGAAAGTTGACTTACTCTGTGACTTGGATTATACCAAGAAGCTATTCATAGAGGATTGCTGGTTATCATTTTGTAATAGCAACAGCTGCAATAACATTCAAAGCTACACAAAGATTGTAGCAGTTTCCTCAACAAAAAAAGCTGAGTTGAAATGAAGTTTGATTAATTGCAGTAATAATTTTTTTTTTCCTTATGTAATTCTATAGTTTCAGTACTTGGTGGATAATAAATCTGTAGTAATGACTGAAGTGACAACCGGCAGTCATATACAGAAAAGTAATGTACAATAATAAATTTAAAACAAAAACTCCTACCTTTGTGCCCTGATTGGTTTATCAAAAGAAGAATAAAGATCACTTCTTTCATGTGCTGGTTTTCCAGCATACCTTGATGGAAACAAATCTCTATTGTCTTCACCATAGTCATCTAACATGTTACATACTTTCAATGTGGGCAGATCTAGAAGAAAGAAAATACATAGAGTATCATCAGTGCAGTATTTGTTATTATAGACATTACCTTTATTTGTAATCTATGTTCCCACTTTTTATAAATACAGTATTATTTTTCATTTAGCATAACAGCTCCTTAAAGGAAAATGCTTACTAAAAGGCAGTAAAAATATTATCAATAATAATTAATCTCATACCAAGTTCTATGTCCGGGGGTGTTGGTGGTCTGGCTCTCAACTTTGGGAAACCCTTTTCTCGTCTCACATTTGAATGCCAACATGAGGGATGCTGACATAAAGGACCACAGTTTGTCTCATCAACTTGTACTCTTACTGCCATTTTGTTCTAAAAATTAATATAATATTTCACATCTATAATTTTGCATTTAGTATAGTACTGACTTAGGTCCATACAAATTATACTCTGAGTTGTGATGTTTTGTGTAGTACCTCCATCTCTAAGTGAGCACACGCAAAAAATTTTTTTCAGAGTCTTTCATAGGTCCAAGAAGTCTTGATCAAGGCCCCAACATGTGCCAGTTACATAATTTCAAAATGCCAAACTATGGGCAATATAAAAAGGTAGTCCTATAAATAACTGATGTTGCTTTGTGATATTTTTACTTCTTGGCAAAACAAAGTTGCATCTGTATTGTTTTAAAACACACAGCAAATTCCGCAAGATTTTTGCGGAATAATTTAATACTAAATCTTCATATTTATGCTTTCACTCCTAGTTATTAATACTCTTTAAAGTAATAAAGAGATACCTTTGAATGAAATTATTAAACTGTCATACAATGTACCTGAAATTAATGTTTAAATTCTCTGTTTTTATTAAATTCCTATCATATCACTTTAGTTTAAAGTTACCATGCAGTCAGCAGTTATCTGATTGGTTGCAAGCATTTAAATGGGTTTCCTGACTGAAGAAATATTTTCGAACCAATTTTTGCTGAAATACACCAGCAATTTGAACGGATATAAATTTTGATTAAAAATCTGGAGCCAATCTGTAAATTGGTTATTAGTCACAGATATGGCGGACAGGCAATGAATGCATGAAAATTTGTTTATACGCGGAAAGTCGCGTAGCTAAAGGCCCCGCAAGGGCACTAGCGCTCTTAGATAACATGTATGATGCGTATCAATTCGTATGAAATCAAATTAAAACTAAATGAAAATTTCAAAAAAATATATATCCTATAGCTAATAAGCTGTGAAAAAATCCTAAGTTAACCGGGCGCCGCCATTTTGAAATCCTTTTGAGCTAAATATAGATATCAGAGCGCTTTTAATTACAGCGTCTACATGATTCAGACTATTGCTAGCAGACGCATGCTAAGTAACACTTCTGGTGAAAGAATGATGTACAAAAACAGAAATTAAACCTGCATTTCATTGATAAGAATTATAGAAACGATTATAAATATAAATAGTTACTTGAACATATCCTTTTTGATAAATTAGCACATTATAAATAACATTGAAACAACAACTGTGATTAGAGATTAACAACAATGACGGACAGGATTTTCCAAACGCCGACGCATGCGCAGTGGTCCCCCTTTACTTTCGGAAATTTTCGGAATATTCTGAGCGCTCCGATGATAGGTTGAACACCACCAATTTGTTTTGTTTATGGTACAAAATACCTTCAAGAAAGATCTGGTTTACATGTTCACTAAACATGTTATGCTAAAATCATAATTCATAAAAGCTTTCAACCCCATAGGTACCACCTTAAATTTCATATTATTCAAATGAGATACGTCGATAATACGGAGTTTGTGTATATAATATATGATAAACAATTGATAGGAGCTTAACAAGCACAACATTAGATTTTTTTTTTCAATTTTGAATTTTGCTATGGCAGTATGGGCTTATTAAATACATAATTTAAACATTATGCTTTCCCAACATAAGGCAAAATTTCAGGCTATATGTCTAATAAATGACTTATCAAATGTCACCTTTCTAAAGAATCCCAGATAATTTATTTATTTGACTAATGTTAGTGTAGTCTAAGGCTCATAAAATTTTTTGGCAATAACAGCGAGCTCGAAGAGCTGGTCCGAAGGGCCTCCTCGCAAGGTGAGCTCTATGGTAACGCAAGTACCTGCTAGATATAATGGTTTCGTCCGAAGTACTGAACTGACACATCGGGACTTTTCGAAATACAAGATAAACGATAAAATCTGAGGTATTCTGATTGAAAACGGAAGCGTAGACTGGTGTCCTGCGCAATTATATGGGAACCTAGCCCAACAAATTGTGCGCTTTAGGGCTTTTTTATATAGACGATGGTCGCCCTTCGTAAAGACAGACATCTATGAAATATCAGATTATAAAATCGGTCTGTCTTGCCGTCGAAATAAATATTGAGACTAATGGGAACCATTATAGGACAGGGAACCAGGAATGTAAAAGATACCGAATGAGAATTTTAAAACAGAAAATGTAAAAGAAAAATGATGGATTATTTCATATTCTTTCGTGGTAAAAGAAAATCGAGCTCGCTTTGAGGCTTTGCCTTTTTCATATTAATTAGGAATAGGATAAATTTTTCGTGTTCAATAATAACTGTACACGCGGACATGCTATTTAAACCAAGTGTGAATAAAAAACTAAGGAAAAATTCATTTCCTATTAGATGCATTGACCAGTGGAATAATTTAGATGAAAACATTGTTCTCAGTGAAAGTATTTTGACATTTAAAACTCTACTTGACCGGAGCTGGCAAAGTAAAAGATTTGATACAAGTGACATTTATTGAAGTTATCTTTGACAATACTGTATAGGAGGAGCTTACAAGCCATCTTGGCTTAAATGCTCAGAAGAAGGATAAGGTAAAGTAGGATAAATGAATCTTAAAAATATTTAATTTTTAAAAGAATTGAAATTTCACACTAAAAATGAGATATACAAACTGAAGTGTCATCCTTACTTTTTGTTTATACACTAATTTTTAATTTGCAAATGTTTGAATATTTCATATAAGCTAATGAGACTGCCTTATTTTAGGTTTCTTCATGTTGGAAATTTTAACAACACTTGGTCGGCCATTTTGAAACAAAATCCTGGCAACTTGCAGTACTGCAGTAAATAATATTATTATTGGAATAATAAATCCAAAATAATAGTATGATGATAAAATAACTATTAAAGTACTGCAGGTAAAAACATACTTTAAAGATTATTTGATATAAGAAATTAGTAATTACAAATTAATTTAAAATTCACTTCGTACCAATGCGGAAGTGAATTGCAAATCAACACAAAATGGATGCAAATAATTTCGGTGGAAAATTAAAAAGGATTGCTGGCACGGCAGGAACTGTCTTTAACAGAGCAGTTCAGGTAATTCTAAGAAATAATTGTTATTGTTCAGATATTAAGTATATTCGCATGACAATGCTGAATTGCATTTTTTTTCAATAACTAACTTGTGGAATATTTGTAGTGATTCATTGATTTTATGGGAATTCTAATTTTGATTTAAAGAAATACACAAATTAGAAGATTTTTACTTCTAATTATTGCACTAAAATTCAACTTTTTAAAATAAATCAGACAAAGCCTCAAATCGTGCTGTTTGACAGAATTTTTAATGCATTACATTTTACCATAATTTATAACCATATTTAACATGTTTAATACGAATAAGGCAAGCCTCAAAGCAAGCTCTTTGATCTTAATACATTTTAATATCATGACCATACTTGTTAAAGACATTGGCGGCTGCACACTCCTTACAACACATTTTATGATTATTGTACACTTACACATGTAGAACTGCACACTTTCCGTTTCAGCCGCACAATTCTTTCAACAATACCACACACTATTTTCACTTCAGAAATACAGCCATTTCAAGTTTTATATACCCATCAGAGAACATAAAATCTGATTTCGGGATTATAATTCCATTTTGATAAGTTCCTGAATCTTCGCATTTAGAATAATGGGTTCAAAATCACAGGCAAAAGTATCGGACCTGGGAAGAAAAAATATGACCAGATTGATAAAAAAACCTGTGTTCATCTTACAGGGTTCCCACGCTACCGGGAAAACGGGAAAAGTCCGTGATTTTCAAAATCGCGACTCCCGGTCGTGAAAACGCCGGGAATTTGCTCCGTCCGGTAAAAGTCCGGGAATAGTCCGGGATTTAGTCCGTACCACTAAGGGAAGTAATCGATATTGAACAATATGGCTGCCGCCGAAGCAACGTCCATTTCCTGGTTTGGATTATTGATGTTTTCTTCCACCGAGGATGGTTTTAACAAGCTATCTTGGTATTTTGAACATTTTACAAATCAAATTCAGCTTTTTATACGGCAAATGCCGTAATGGCTTTGAAACCTCGCTAGAAATTAACAATGAAAACGAACGAAAAAATAATAAACGTCCGTGTTTCCGGAGCACTTAAATTTACTGCACAGTCGTCCAGTTGATTCAGCAAATATGTCGTCTGCGCTAGTGCGCAAGTTGCGAGACAGAAATAGAAATAGGAAAACAATCAACAAAACAAATTACACCTTATACATTGGATCTGACTGGCATCAAAAATGACATCTTAGATGTAAATTTATTATAATGAGCCACCCCATGAGAAAACCAGCAAAGTGTGTTTGTGACAAGCATGGATCCAGATGAGTCCTTCACATCTTCACAGTCACATAAGGATCCATACTGTCTGCCTAAAGCTTGTGTAACATTTTTAACATCTGAAAGCAAACTTCATGGATCCTGATGTGACTGCATGGATAGCCAAGCTTGTCTGGATCCATGCTAGTCACACAAGCAATTTGCTGGTTTTCTTGTGGTGCTGCTAAAACATATGTAAATACTTTGCTGAAAATTTAATACAATTGCCTCGTTTCTCATTTACAATTAAAGTTTTGTTATGACTGACCTATGTTTAATAGTTTTATGCCAATATTGTATATATATATAGTATACTGTTTTCATTAAAATGACAAAACTCTTATAGGCCAATTAAGATTTGTCATTTGTGCAAGTAAAATGAACAATATTTTTATTTGCCCGTTTGAAAAACTGGACATATTATGTTTTCACCCTTTACGGGCTGGTGGGAAGTCTGGAAAAAACCTGGAATTCTCAAATTGAAAAACCTGGAATTTAAAAAAAAATCCTTGAAAAAACCTGGAAAAAGCCTGGAATTTCACTCCTAAATAATAGTGGGAACCCTGATCTTAAAAGTGCCAAAAAAAACAAAAAAAAATGTATATAATGACCCCCTTTAAAAATATACTATAAGTTAAGAGAAGGCCGGAAACTCCAGATTCGAGCCTACGAGCAAGGGATTCATTTCCCGGGCCGTTGTGAAAACAATTGGCCAGACAATTAAAAAAAACTTTTATCACTATTTCACGTTTATATAAAGCTTCAAAATGAGACCAACCCCAAGACTCTAGCCCTTCCCGTTCATGAAATATCTATCAGGAAACGAGCGACTTCGTGCTAAAAATCCTTGGTAGACATAATTGCGGCACAACAATTCGGTAAGTAAACATAGACTAATACATGTACATGTATGTCAGCTGACTACAGGTCAAAATTACTTGAATTTACTAAATAATATTACTAAATACATTAAGTTGGACCACTCACAACCGTCAGTAGCATCTAATACACACGAGATTCGAGTTTCAAACATTTACACGGTCTTTCAATCGCTTTCTACGCCATTTTGCATCTTGTGTGAAACGTTCCGGTTTTCGTTGCTATTGGCCAATCAGAAGACTCGTTACAAAATATCGAACAGCTGATTGACAATGGCGTAGAAAGTAATCTAAAGACCGTGGAAAGGTTTGAAATTCGAATTTTGCGTGTATCAGATGCTACTGACGGTTGTGAGTGGTCCAACTTAATGTATTTAGTAATATTATTTAGTAAATTCAAGTAATTTTGACCCGTAGTCAGCTGACATACATGTATTAGTCTATGTTTACGTACCGAATTGTTGTGCCGCAATTATGTCTACCAAGGATTTTTAGCACGAAGTCGCTCGTTTCCTGATAGATATTTCATGAACGGGAAGGGCTAGAGACTTGGGGTTGGTCTCATTTTGAAGCTTTATATAAACGTGAAATAGTGATAAAAGTTTTTTTTAATTGTCTGGCCAATTGTTTTCACAACGGCCCGGGAAATGAATCCCTTGCTCGTAGGCTCGAATCTGGAGTTTCCGGCCTTCTCTTAACTTATAGTATATTTTTAAAGGGGGTCATTATATACATTTTTTTTGTTTTTTTTTGACACTTTTAAGATGAACACAGGTTTTTTTATCAATCTGGTCATATTTTTTCTTCCAAGGTCCGATACTTTTGCCTGTGTTTCAAATGTCCGACTGCAATTTATCAAAAAATTGTACAATATACTTCATTCAGTCATCAGTCAAAAGTTTATGCACATTATGATTAATTCATGAAACAGTCATTAACATGCATACATGTGACAAATGAAATGGGTCAAATCTGGATTTTCAGCTGGATTTTGAGGCTCAAAACTGGATTTTTTCATCGACTCGAATTTCAATGCGTGTTTGACACATTTGGTTCAAAGAATCTATATTACCCTCAAAATCATTTAATGATTATACTTTTTATGATTTTTTGTTGATCAGTATTAATTTATTTCACCAAAAAATAATAAATAGATAAATAAATAAGTGTAGTCATACAGGCTATTTCTAAAACAGTCACATTTTCACATTTCATTTTGAAAAATTATATCTGTCTTTTCAGTGATTCATTCAATAATTGGCTACAAGCTATTTGAAAACGTACAACAACTATTCATGAACATAAGACTCTTGACAGTTAAATAACGTAACATAGGTAGAAGACTCAAAATAAATGCAAGAATCGTTCCGTTAATTAAATCCACATTTTTGCCTCAATGATTGTGTAATTTCTAAACAAAACAAAAAAATTACCCACTCACTAAAATAGGTTAATAATACATCTCGAACAGGTTGTTGAATGATCCACTTTAATTAAATGATTCTGCTCACCTTTTATCTTTATCAGTGTGGCACTAATCAAAGAAAGTCAAAGGTTGAGCCGAATTCATACATGTAAATTTACAGGGTAGTTTTGATGACATAGCCTGTAATACCTACTGCCAAATTACAAAGGAGGTCAATTGACTGACACACCACACGTGTTAAGTTAAACATGTGAGAATAACTTTGGGTATTGGAACTGTTTATTACGTCACCTTGCTGTCAATTAGTGACTCAACATTTAATCCTCTATAATTTAGGATATGGACAGATAACAATCAATGCCCGGAGGCACGGTTTACACTTTAGATATTGGTGCTGTGTTTGATTTTTTTTATGTTGATTTTATTTTTAAATATAGGGAATTCAAGCTGTAATATCGGGTATCGGGATCAGTGTCAAAATATCGGGATTTTTTTTAATCCCGCCGGGATGTCACATGTATGAACATGCTAAGGGTCACATTTTGGGAAAAGAACTTTCGCAAAACTTTGTACAGTTGACTCTCAATAAGTCAAAATCGCTTTACTCAAAATTCCGCGTTAGTCGAAGAATTTCTAAAGTCCCAACAAATTTCCTTCTTTATGTTTGTATTTTAACTCCACTTAGGTCAAATTTTGACTTACTGAGACTCCTGTTTAGTCCAAAAGAAATTTGGTCCTGCAATTAAAGTCCAACATATTTTCATCTCAATTAGTCAGTGTGAAAACAGCCAACTGATCAAAGGTCGACGACATCAAGGTGAGATATTGTCACTCGTGATTCACACATTTCATAGTAATTTTAATTGCCGGTCATCATGTATTATTAACATGTCGTAAAAGTGGCTTTGATCGGTTTCAGGACTTTATTGGTTTTAATAACTAAATTAAGATTTAATTAATTTAATTGTGCCAGTCTGACACAGGTGTTAGTCAAATAACAGCCTAGGTATTGATGTGTGTTATCAACGTAAATGACATTTGTATAATTAATGTTCCGTCATATCGCATACATTAATATGTACTTCCGGTTCACGATAGTTGCTACTTTCGTTTTCGTCAGATGATCAATTCACTTCAAATATTAGATAAATTGTTGTTGAAATAAATGCGTTATTGTGCTTTTATTGTAAGGAATTGTCATGAGTGCTTTATTAAAATATGTGCATTACTGATGAATACTTACAAACTTGCATTTATTTCATTGCTACGAATATTTGTGTTTATGTTTCACTATTAATATATATGTAATAAGTTTTGAATAATATATTTTTATTCATTTATAATGTGTAGTTGTAAGTGATTTACCGTCATTTCAACGGTAAAATATTGTAGCATTGCCGCTTTCAACAATAACAAACCTACTTCATTGCACATTCAATCATGCAAATGTATATACATGTATGAATGTCAACTAATGGCGGCAGATCCACGTTACTCGAATTCTGTTTCTCTCGAAGTAAAATGCCCAGTCCCTTGGATTTCGAGTTACCGAGAGTCAACTGTATTTAGATTAATAGGCAAGTGGTTCTGAATGATGTCAATTTGAATGGGGACTATAATGAGACAAAAAAGCTTATCTCCAGTGTGCTTAGATAAATAATAGTTTAGGTAACCTGTTGGTGGTAACCTGCTGGTACTGATTCCCGCGGTGCTAAAAAAATTATAAGGATAGGGAACCAAAATAACCCCCATTATTCTGTGACAGGATGTGTACACTGAAGATAACGCCATTGGGAAAGTCAACCAATAATCATGGCATGCTCATATTCTTCCATGTAGTATGCCATGGAGTAAAGTAAGGAATATGCTGATAAAACAATTTATAATCTGTTAATAATCCAAGTATCAACATATGAAAAAAGGACTGGAATTTTTAACATTAACCAATTAAACTACCTATTAATTTCCGATGGTAAAAAACTTCAGGTCTTTGCGGCTATCTTGCCAAAATGTTTAAACAAGTGATTACGAGATAGACCTTTATGGGTTAAGTTGCACAGACATATAATGAAGAAGACAAAATGCTTTTGATTGTTGAGAAATTGCATTAAAAAACAACAAAGGTGATTTTTCTGCCTTCTTTAAGCAGTAAAAGTACCAAAGAAAAGAAGACAAGAAAAAAATGTAATCTTGAATTAGGACTATTAAATCTTGTCAACAATGATTTTCTAATTTATACATGTTTTTGTGTCGCCTCTACGGAGTAGTGGCGACATATAGGGATCACTTCTCCGTCGTCTGTCTGTCCGTCTGTCTGTCTGTCCGCACTCACAGGAGAGTAATTATGTGGCTAGAGGGACAATAGGTAACTGTTCTTTCTCTTTGATGTCATTCATTCCGTAATGCTTTTATGTGGCTATTTTCTTTTGTGTGGCTAAAAAGAACAATAGAGAGAACAATAGAGTAGCCACATAATTACTGTCCTGTGAGAACATCCGTCCGTCCGTCACAAAACTTGTCCGGACTACTTCTCATAAACTACTGGTGCAATTTCATCCAAACTTTACAGGAATGATCAGTACCAAGTCTAGTTGTGCATATTGTCAGCATTTTACGGTTCAATGATTTTTGTCAGAGTTATGGCCCTTTAATAATTTTTTATTTTAAAGTTTGTCCGGACTACTTCTCTTATACCACTAATGCAATTTCAATGAAACTTTACAGGATTGATCTGTAGCTCAAGTCCTTGCGCATATTGCACAAGTTTTCCGGTTGAATGATTTTTGGCCGAGTAATGGCCCTTTGATCAAAAGGTGTTTTTTTCTGTGTGTTGCCAGATACACAAAAGCTTGTCCGGACTACTCCTCATAAACTACTGGTGCAATTTCATCCAAACTTTACAGGAATGATCAGTACCAAGTCTAGTTGTGCATATTGTCAGCATTTTACGGTTCAATGATTTTTGTAAGAGTTATGGCCCTTTAATAATTTTTAATTTTAAAGTTTGTCCGGACTACTTCTCTTATACCACTAATGCAATTTCAATGAAACTTTACAGGATTGATCTGTAGCTCAAGTCCTTGCGCATATTGCACGGGTTTTCTGGTTGAATGATTTTTAGCCGAGTTATGGCCCTTTGATAAAAAGGTGTTTTTTTCTGTGTGTTGCCAGATACGCAAAAGCTTGTCCAGACTACTCCTCATAAACTACTGGTGCAATTTTATCCAAACTTTACAGGAATGATCAGTACCAAGTCTAGTTTTGCACTGTCCGTCTGTCTGTCCGTCAGTCACAAAATTTGTCCCAACGTGAAATTGGCCATCATGAGGCGACACATATGATTACTGATCGCTCTTGTTTTTCTAAGCTGTTCATGCAAATTACGTCATACAGGTTCTAGGGTAATTTCTAAGTGTCATGGCCAACATAGGTCATTGTAATACTAATTAATGTATTGCAGTGAATTTGTTTTATTGAATATTACACAACGATATGTTTTGAAAAGGGGATTTGCTAACTAAAACAAAGTTTAACAAATAGATATATATATAAATTTGAAATCTGGGCTTTTTTCCCCTTCTATAGCAGAGGCCATAAACTGAATTTAAGTTTTACACTAACATGCCTAAAATCATATAGAAAATCTGTACTTTGAAAAATTATAAATTAACTATACCATCTTTAATAAAAATTGACCCAATCTTTTTTTTAGAGATGATACAAAACATAATTAGTAAGTAAGTAAGTAAAGTCTTTATTTACTGAGGCTACACATTTGGTTTCCCAATCTTCCATGTGGGCCTCAGATAATTAGGAAATAGATATCAATTCTGAGTGCATTGTTGTAGAATAATGCACGGTTTGAGTTCAAATGCGTAGTAATGTAATCAGGAAGGCCGATAGGCCTGAGTGATTAATTTCAAAGCATTTGAACTAAAAATATCATACAATAATGCACGAAGAATTAATATCTATTTCCATTCTATCACGTCAAGAAAAAATATAATTATTATTATAAAGTTGGACTTTATTTTTGATGGTTAAATTTGTTTTCGCCTGAGAGTTTCCCATAGAAACGTTCTTTAAAGGCTGATCCAGTGGGTTGAAAAAAACTTTCGTTAAATCTACCGTGTGTAGAAACATTTTTACATTTTTAGAATAACGAACTTTGAAAACGTTGATAAAACTTTGTTGGTTTATTTTATTTCACTCTATAATTTTTCATGCGAAATACATATTATTAAAAGGGAAATAAATGTAAAACTTAACTCTTTTGCGACATAAAAATAGCGTACTTGATTTGATTGTTTTGCATGTGCTGTTTGGCGCTACATTGTGACGTCACGTAAACAACACTTTAAAAGTCTGTACAGCGTTAACGACTGAATTAAAGATATTGGTGTTCGGATTCATTTTCTCAGACCATTTTCTTTCATTCTAGATAGCTTTCACATCAAAATTCGACAAAAAATTGTTTTTATTTATCAGATTTTTTAAACAAAAAGGCGCCCTCAATGTGATTATACACAGGGAGATAGTAAGAACGGCGAGTGCATTGTTGTAGAATAATGCACGCTTATGGCCTTCTTTGTTTATATAGAAAAAAATCCAATAGTGTTAGAATGTCAATTATACATTGTAAGTGTAATGTTGAAGATGTTTTGGTCTTCCACAGTTCACAGAGGAAAAGCTTGGATCAGCAGAAAAGACGGAGCTTGATGCACATTTTGAAAACCTCCTGAATAGGTCTGAGAAGACAAGAATATGGACAGAGAGAACACTCAAACAAACAGAGGCTCTTTTACAGCCAAATCCAAGTAAGTATCAAAGGAACTCCACTGAGGTTTATAAGCCTAAAACTTAAAATGTTAATTTTTCACATAGATAAACATGAGCACTTAAAACAGAAATATAAATAAAATATAATTAAGAATTATACAAGAAATATATTGAAAACCGGATGTTTGTTCTATTCTCAGTCCGATTTTGGGACATTTTTCACTATTATAATAACTATTCTGGAAAAAGGGAGCGAGCTAATGATATGCAATTTTGCACACAAGGTATTGGTATAGATCTACATCAAATGGAGAAATAATCTCAAAAAATTATTTCCAGTCCCATCATGTCAAAAACCCTCAGTGGAGTCCCTTTAAATAAACAGAGGCTCTTTTTACAGCCAATTCCTTGTTTGTATTAAATAAAGAGAGGCTATTTTTACAGCCAATTCCTAGTAAGTGTTAAATAAACAGAGGTTGTTTTACAGCCAAATCCAAGTATAGTCAACATCACTTATTTTGTGTTATCACTTATTTCACGGTAATGGCATATTTCCATGTGACCAGTGTTAACATTGATCAAGATTGACATATTTTAGTTATACACGACAGTGTATTAAAAAATGTGTGTGAGTCTGGAAGTCATCATTTTTCAAATGTTCTTATTTGTTGCAAAACAAAATTTAAAAAAGTTACAAAGGTAGAGATAGTTAAGTTTGAGTATTTAAAATACTTCTTAGTTTTTTGTAGAATTTCATAGTACAGAAAACAATATTTAAAAAAGTAAAATGTCACTTAAATGTGAACTTTTTTAAAAGTTTTTTTTTTAGAAATTCAAAGTCATTTTCTTTTTTATTTCTTTTGGCTAGATGTCTAATCTACAGACAGATAAAAAGCTTGTGAATTATAAGAAATTCAATGTTATTTAGGAATCCTATATGTATATATATTATCAATTTTGAGCAAATCTTTAATTTTTAATTTTATACCAAGGAAAATGCTTGTTCATATAGATATCTTAAATATTATACATGAACTGTGTAGTGTTAACATTAGTATTTACAAATTTATCTATGGTCAAAGTGATACTGGTCAGCTGAGAAGAATTTTGCTTTAACCTTAATTAGTAATAACAACCCCTCAAGGCAAGGTTTAACTAATACGGAGAAATGTGTCATACTAAACTAATTGATTTCATGTTGTCAAGCATTTATGTTTTTCTCCGCTTATTGGCAAAGTACAAATAAAATGTAATAAAAAGAAGAATTAATATAAATGTCCTTTATGTGATAGGCTTATGATACGATATCAGGCTATTGAAACCAATTATTGAACGAATATATATGAATAGGTAGTTTCTTGTGTAATATTTTATGCAGTCACCATCTGTTGCATTTTCATTCAATGTTACCTCATTATAAATAATTAATCATACTTTCTTAAACCCAGCTAAAATACTGATATTAGCTGGTATTAAATACAAATGAAGACAGTTTATAGAGGGAGATATGTTTAATTAAAACCACATTAAATTTATGATAACCAAGACTGGGTTTGGGTACAATATTTAGTTTCACTAAGTATACTACTGAAAACTTGATCAAGTTTAATTTCTTTCCTACTGCTGATAAGCTTGACATTATTGTGGTTTGGTTTATTTGTGTTTCTTTATTTGTTAGTTTCTTTGTCTAATGTCTATTTGAATCTTACAAAATTTAATGTACCTTCATGTTGTAATTTAGCCAATTGTTTTTTTTCAAAATAATCCACCAGTTAATTGTAGCCCCTTCCCTCTAAAAGTGGATAATGTGGGGGAACAGTGGGGAAATGAGGAGAGTTTTCACCTTTTGTCTGTCCCACACTGCTTGTCACTGAGGATGTTTTGTTTTGGCTGCACCAAATTGGCAGATATGTTCAACTCACAGTGTGGGATGCTATAACTAGAGGTTAAAGTATCCAAAAGTCTTAGGTCTGCATTATTCCCTAGGGTTAAAAAAACAAAAGCAATAAACAAATATTGGTCTGAATGAGCTTGTCCAGATAATTTTTCTATTAATGTATATATTGAGGGGGAAACGGACAAAAGCCCTCTCGGACAACGGTATGCCTAAAATACGAAAGTGAGATTTTTGACGAAAGTGAGCGAAAGTGACTTTTAAAATTTGAATTGTACCGTTTTAATAGAATATTACAGTAAAATTGCTGTTTGTAGACGTATATTATTAGCAACTTATTATATTTCTTTTCAAAAATAATCACTATGATGATTTAATCGCCATTTATTTGCATAATTTCTATACACAAGTTCTGAGATCTTCCTTTCGCTCATTTTGAAAAATACGAAAGTGACTTGTAAAATATCAAATATAGGGTTTAAATTTAAATTTATACTAAATTTGCAGTTTGTAGACATATATTATCAGAAATATATTGATGTTTATTTTCAAAAACAATCATAATGATGATTTAATCACCATTCATTTGCATAATTTCTATACACAAGTTCTGAGATCTTCCTTTCGCTCATTTTGAAAAATACGAAAGTGACTTGTAAAATATTAAATTTAGAGTTTAATTTGAAATTTAAACTAAATTTGAAGTTTGTAGACGTATATTATCAGAAATATATAATGTTTACCTTCAAAAATAATCATTATAATGATTTAATCACCATTCATTTGCATAATTTCTATACACAAGTTATGAGATCTTCCTTTCGCTCACATTGAAAAAAATATGAAAGTGACTTGTAAAATATGAATTAAAGCATGATTATGGTTATTTATTATAATATTAATAATTTGCTAATAATATACGTCTGCAAACAGCAATTTTACTGTAAAATTCTATTAAAATGGTACAATTCAAATTTTAAAAGTCACTTTCGCTCACTTTCGTCAAAAATCTCACTTTCGTATTTTAGGCAAACCCCTCGGACAAAGGGGGCCGCGGACAAAGCCCTCCCACAGAGCAAATGATAAGGTGCGTATTTGCGTATTTACGCAATTAATTTGATAAAACACGCATTTGATTTTTTAAGAATGCGTATCAAAACCCATTAAAAACCCATGCGTATTGTAATTTTCATCACCGCAAAATTAATCTGTCGTACGCTCGTAGTTTTGGACAAATTATATGGATATGCAATATAAATTGCTATCCGAATATTCCCGAATCAATGCTAACAAATCAACGGTCTCCGGTTTTCGACGGTCCCCAGTCTCAAAAGACCGACTAAGCCTGAGACCGTCGATTTGTCTACTCAGGTCGACGGTCTTTACAGACCGGCAGAGACCGTTGATTTTGCGGAGACCGTCAATAAGTAGGTCCCAGCTGTATCAATAGACGCTTTGAAAGCAATATGGAGTCGGTGGAGTCGCTGCTCTCAAAAATCGGTAAGACTGGTGTACACATAGCCTAATTAATTTGGCGTGAACGGTTTGACCCATTTTTCAGACTTTTTTTTTATTACTGTCAAACCGTTACGCCTAATTTTAACTGTCTTTTTTACGCACGGAAAATATACCGGCAACACTAGCGATAGTTTGGACTGAATTTTACTGCTTAAACCTGAAAGTAACTTCAATGTCCTCTACAGATCAATAGAATATAAATTCTAGTACTAACTTCTCCTAGAAAAAATATTAGATTGTACCTGTCTTAACGCATACATGCGATTTATTTCAAATTTGTACTGTCTACTCTATCTTTGGCGGACATGTTATGACGTCATCGTAAAAAATCGATTCCGTGAAAGCTGGTAGTAGCTACCAGTGTGTCTAGCAGGTAAGTGTGGGTTACGCATGAAAATTAAATTAAAAAAAAATATGGGGGGAAATAAATCTATTCATTATTTTTTAATAAATGTGTGCATTATTAAATACTATTGAAAAGTATCAATGTATTTAACCTAAAATGCAATGGTAGCAAATAGTCTCTGTACATGTATACTGGTGCCTCATATTTCCGTGGTACTTAACTGTTTACACAGACAATAAAAGTTAGAAAAATAAAATTCTGGAAAATATGTTGAATATTGTAGGAAAGACATGTCAATTACATCGTAGATAATTACATTTAATGTTTGCACAGTCTTCGACTTAACCCACTCGACCGACGACCGAGTCGAGTAAATTTGCCGGTGGTCGAGTGAAAATTCCAAGCTGGTAGCCCGTCTGGTCTAGGGCTTTTTTCATATCCAAATTAAGAAAATGTTGGAAATATGCAGAGCTCCAGATAGCAATGTTTTGGCTTTATGAAAATACAAAATATTTCTGCTTAATTGGATGGAAAACTAAAAGTACTATTGTCAACACTGCTGTAAGTTGAAAACGAAAGTAGCAGGAAGTGACATCGAGTAAAAAGGGAAGGTAACTCTTGGGAGTTTCTGAAATGAAATTATTGATAAAGTTAAATTTGGTGTAATCATCGTAGGACTTAACCTAATATTCAATGGGTTTAGACATATATTATAATGTTTTTGCTACAAAATAATGAAAAATGTTGTACTTGCCACTTTAGTTATTGGAAAACATATTTCTCCCTTGCCATGTGCGGTTTTGTACTCAATATTTTCGTACCAAGTTTACAGTTACGGACAATTTCCTCAAAGACTAATTCTTTGTGTATACAATGTAAAAGTTTTTATTTTATTATATTTATTTTTCATTAATTCTAATTTCAATTATAAATAATCAAAACCAAAGAACGGCACTAAAATGTAGTCTGTAGAAATAGAGTATGAATAAAGCCTCATGCTGACCATGTAGCTGATTGTAAAAGAATGTGACACATTCAAACAACAACATGTCAGCAACAAAAAAATTGAGTCTTGTCATTAATTTGCTGTGTAACCTAAACAAACCCTAGTCTAGGGAAGCCTGTCTTAACAGAGCAAGTTTTGTATTATTTCACATTGAATCAATATTTTATTATATAAGTCAGTCTGATTTATGTAAAGAAAGGAACATTTTAGAAGGCAATGAAATTTGATAACAAAACAATGCAAATTCTTTTTATAAATTTTACCCCAGAATTTT